CTACAACGGTGACTCTTGGCTTTACAGCCGTGATGTTTAACTGTTGTAAGCTTTGTTGTTCGGATCGGTTAAAACTCAGCGAGAAGTGATAGTTATTTGAATTTTCCCTTTGTTCGTCCCCCAGGGAATTGTACTTGGCGCAGAGCGTGGTCTTGACGTCAGAACGGATAGGATCACACAGGCGTTTCGATTCACCTTCAATCCTTCTTCACATTTCATTCATTGAATAAACACATAGGCACTGACTAAAGAACAAGATTGTCAGCGTCTTCACGAAGAATCAGTTCATTCATCGCGATCAGTTCAAAATGCTTTGCTCACATTTGCATCCCAAATTTTTCAAGTAATTGAAGAATGTGGCTAAATTGTGGCATGCCTCGATCGGACTATACCCCTTTATACGATTAAAACAGAGAGCGAAGATGGTGTTGAATTAATTGGCACCCTATCCCAGACCGATTTCCGCCTACGCCACCAATCCTTCCATACTTGCAGGGCTTACAAATGGTATCAGACTTCTGGGAAGATGAAAGCACTGATTTAATGTTGCCATTCAATACGCAACTAGAATATCGATAATATTAATAATAATATTGATTAACGCTGAAGACTTTATCCATCTATACCTCATGCTAGATAAATGGAGGAAATTCAGTAGAGAAATGAAACATTCTGATGTGCTTCAATTACCAAGATTCTTCTAACATGTAGCATTGTTGAATTGTTTGTCAGAAATTGCCACACTTACTATACTTAGTTATCTTTTGCCATAGCACAAAATGCAGGATGCGCCATGAATATGGTAACAACTTTTCGGACATCAGTAATTTCCTTGTGTGGAGGGTTTTTCCAAAGTAGCACGTCCCCTTATGTTTATGATATACCTTAGCCCACATATCTACTTTGGCACTCTCAATTCGTCAGATTTCGAGGAACCGCGGAACCTCGCAAGTATCCACCGACCGTACCGTCTTGCACGCATTTGGGGAGCCTTTTCCCCGGTTCGTTCCTCGTTTCAACATTTCCCATATGACTCTCTTGAATCGCGTTGCGTAGACAGGTCAACAACAAACCTCAGCACGGTCTCCGTGTCTCACATAAGACCCCTTTTCCGGTTACAATTGCTGGGGAAGGTGTGCGCTGCGGAACCTGGAGAAACACAAGAAAAATGGCTGCTTATTGGCTTGTATGTTCTTCTCCGTTGGGATAAGTCTACTCAGAGTAAATACGATTGTATCAAAATGAGATCCGAAAGCCTTATAAGCTTTTTGACGAGAAAAAGTTGAAGAAAAAACAAATGCCGTATGCTACTTGCGCACGGCACGCGCTTCGACAGACTGTTGTTTGATAAAAGGGTGTTCAACGGGGAAGAAATGTTGAGATCTCAGAGTATACGTATATTTTACTCTACGAGTGCTGAAGTAGCTATGTAGAGCCAAATCGCCTCTTAAAGCCATTTTTCCTCTTTCATGATAGCTCGGGCTAGAATCTCCACCATCAGAGAAATATCACAAATTGCGTTCGAGAAAAGACAAAATTTATTCCGAACCCCTTTAAGACTGGGTTTTCTGAAAGGATGCAGCTGAGGGTCAAAGATTTTTCTAGGGATACGATTTGAAAACTACGGCGCGCTTGCTCATGAATGGGGAATGATCGACACTGGTGCTGAAGATTGTTATCGACCATATCCCGTCTTCCAATCCTTCTACGAATTTCCCGTACCACAATGTGATGAGTCGCTGCATATGGTTCATACTGGAAAGGAGAGCCTGCGCTTTAAAATTGCATATGGTTCATACTGGAAAGGAGAGCCTGCGCTTTAAAATCGGCGCACTTGCTCATGAATGGGGAATGTTCGAGACTGGTGCTGAAGATTGTTCTCGACCATATTCCGTCTTCCAATCCTTCTACGAATTTCCCGTACCACAATGTGATGGGTCGCTGCATATGGTTCATACTGGAAAGGAGAGCCTGCGCTTTATAATGTCTTCCAATCCTTCTACGAATTTCCCGTACCACAATGTGATGAGTCGCTGCATATGGTTCATACTGGAAAGGAGAGCCTGCGCTTTAAAATGCATAACTGTTGCTGCTCCCAAGAAATCATTGAAAAAAGTCCGGGCTGGAGTTTCTTGAGAAAGTCTGCATGCCACCGTCGATGAGTAGCCGAAGCGTCTTCGAGCTGTAATTAGTACAGGAAGCGATTATATAAGATGACCGTGTGTTCGTTGTGTAGATGCGATGCATAGTAAATAGTTCACATAAATTCACCATGTATCAATATGAATTGCTGTTTGTGTAGTCAAATTATTTTATTACCATATTTATCACTTACCCTGTAGTACAGGTAGCAAAGTCCTTGAGACCATCACAATGTGAGTTTAATGGTTCCAGAGTTTTCTGTGGATATTTGAATGCATGTAGGATTCTGACTGGAAAACGAATAAATGTCTGAAAGAACATCGTTTAACGCATTTTTCATCCATTCTAAAGCGGTCCTCATCCAATGGCACGCTCATGCATTCTTCCCTTTTTTTTTCTTGCCATCCTGTCGTTCTTGCTATAAGGCTACAGAATCATGGAGTCAAATCAGTCTTAGACAGGACTCGAACTGGCGACCATTTCCTTCCCCATTAGTATGCGGAGGCCTCGGATGCCTTTCGATTCTATTGCGTTTTTGATTTTCTATACAACACACTTGCTTCTTTTCGCTTGCAACTGTTTTCGTCGGAGTTTTTTTGCAAATATAGATACTAAAAAACCTTGCCATCCGAATTTTGGTCAGCCAGTTGATAGCCATAACTCCTACGATCTCCGTTCGGTGGTATTCTTCTTCCATGCTCTGCCTCTATCTCGGAGCTTTCTTCCCCCTCGTCTATATCCTTCTGCTTGCTGTTGCTGGTATCGTTGTGGATGGGTGTCTGTCAAACATGCCTTGTTACGACTGTCGAGAAAAGCTCTATGAAGCCTCAAGGGTAGCATGCTCCAGGGTTCCACTTTCCTCATCGCGATTTACTTCTTTCGCTTACCTCGATGAAAACTGATTTCCACACATATTCCGTATGCAGGGTCTCTGCATTTGATCGGAATTAGCTAGTTGATGAAATAGGAGCGGACGCATGAGTGCATCTCCTCTTGCATCTTTACGGCATAGTGTCATAGCGTGAGGCCTTCAGCGTGAGGCCCCTGAAAGAGAGCACACAAATGTCTTGTGCCCTCTGGGACGTACTGAAATGAAGTGTTACATGAGGGTTTCAATGAATAACTTTCGTTTTTTGTGGACAAATTACAACCACCTTTGCCGCTTGCATTGTTGAGAAATCGGATTTTTTCTCATCATCCGAGCTTTGAGACCCCGCACCGATCACGTTACCCACAGGTCCCTCCTCTCCCTTTACACATGTTACACTATTTAACAATGTGGTAACAAAAGCAATATGAAAAAGGGACGAAATTGGCACAAGTTTAACCAATAAGTACGACAAGATAAAAGAAAAAGAATCAGTGACGAGGCTCTGAATATCTCCATCCGACTCGGAGCATGGTCCACGCAACTATTTTCCGTTCTTCCGTCCATTCTCGCTCCTCCTATTCTGCTCTCTGGTCCTTGAGAAGTATCGCCTATGACGATCAAGAAATAAACCCATCTATGAACACACCTCATCCCATCCAAATGCTCAGAATGTGCTAGGATCCCAGTTATCTTTGCCCTCAACATTCATGAAGTCAGCAGTCACACATCGTTGCATTGTAGGTTAGACCTTTGAATTGCACTGATATTATTGCTCTCGAATTTTTTTCGCTATGAAGGCTCGATGTAGGCTAGATCAGTTCAGGGCAAAAAATTTAAGGCGCAAAAAATTATTTCCCTCATGAATTGTTTCCAAGGAAACGCATAAGACCATCTGGTAAAAGAAAGCTCGACTTTGTTTCTTATTGGGCGCCACTGGTATAAACGATGTCGATCTTACTGTAATTGTTTCAAAGCCCAAGTTTACGGCTTCTCCAACGGCATACGGCAACATCGCTACCATTTATAAGTTCCTTCAGTTTTTCATGACTTTCGAATCTGTTGATGAAAACGTAAAGCGGTATAGGAGGCTAGTCGTTTCATAAATATGGTGATCTCTTCTTCAGGAGATGTGTCATGGTTGGTTTGAGGGCACAAGTTTGTAATGACGTGCTCATAATCACTGACAAGCTTATTATATCCGCGTCAAGAGAGGGCCGATTAGTTGGGAACACTATGTTCATAACAAGGCTATCCGTATGCTGAGCGGAATTCACGTGCATTACTTAGATTTTCCTTTTCGATTGATCATCGTATTATGTCATGGGCTATGTTCAAACTTATGGAAACTTTAAGATAAGAACGTTGTAACTCTGCTTTAACACATGATTCTCATCATCTCGGTGAGCAGTAATTGAAGGAATCAGATATTTCGGTTGTTCCTTGTTGAGAATTTATGGCTAATTCTTATTGAATTGGCCTTCAAAGAGTGAGAGCGCATCCACTTTTTGTCGACCAGAAGTTCTGTAAAGTCTGAAAAGTTAGGTTGTCTGATCAAGTAGCATCACTGAGATGCCTTGTAAATGAACTACTCTTATTGATACTCCAGAGGTTTGTCATCTAATGGTTCTTATATGAAAAAGCAGCACATTCTAGGAGGCTGTGGAACCAGGTTGTCCAGGAAAGCACTAGATGGGACCAACGATGATCCTAGGTCACGGCTGCTCGAAAGAAGAATCAGTAGTGAACCTGTATGGGGTACTATACTATGGGTGCGATTTCCTGTATGAGGCCATTCAGCTATGTTACATTTCTTCTGCGCTCATGCTTAGCGTGGCAAGCGTAGAACAAGTGCACCTTTGAGTGCACCAAGTTTTGAGTGGTATTCCTCGTTCTCATTCAGTTCTGATACCTTTGGTTCTTCTGTATTTCGCGCCAGTGTTATTACTAGAGTGGAAAATAGTGTAAAGGCTATAATAATATTTCAGGCATGGCTCGAGTGTTTTGCATGTGGTTTGCTCTCTTCTCCTTATACGCTGGTTGCGTCAGTGGCATCTTGCGGGTGATGACGTTCAATATTTGGTTGTCTGGAGCTTCAGTGCACAATGGTCTTCAGAAGATTGCCAAACATATTCTTCTAGTGAATCCAGACATTGTAGCACTCCAGGTTGGAAAAAGTGCCGGTAACTTCTCCAATGTTTTTCTAGCAGGTTCAAAGCCCAAATGCATGCACGGGACTGTGATACAGCGACTAATTGCTTGTTTACGCTCTGAACACATTTAGTATTAAATGGAAATGAAATCGCTGGTCTTTAGATAATTTTTTAGAATGATGCAGTGACAGAAATTGACACTCACTAATCTCTAGGACAACATTAACATAGAACTGCAAATAACACCCGATACTTGGCAGATTGAAAGACACTTTTTATCCCCTCCAAGAATTTGCGATCCCGTCCCATCCCATCACCCCACAAAATGTCAGGGATCCGTTCTCAATCTGGCGGACGCAATGGACCAGATTTCTCGTCTTCTGGGCCTACTTATCAGCCATTATCAAATGTTATCAGCTACTAGTGGTGTTGGTATAGTGGCAAGTGGCGCAATATCACGGTTCAAATCCCCGATTGATATTTTCCAGACCAACCAAGCCTTCCATCTGTGTGCGGTCGGTTGATTGGTACCAGACTCTTCTGGGAGGATGAAAGCGCTGACCAGTACATCGGCTGGCCACCTCAAGCCATTGTATTAGGTTGATGCATTATTATTGCGGATTTTTTCGCGGCTTTTTTTCTCTCGATAGAATTTGAATATTGAGTTCGGGTTTGCTCTAGAAATGATCTACTTGTTTGTCTCTACAAGAATATACTCAAAACATCATCCGTATATTCGCGAAAATAAACTTAATTACTCCGAGAAAGATTGGAAGGTGGCACAGTCATTCCACGATCTCAGTAACTTTTCGGAGATCGAACCATCAGCCAGAGCCAACCGAGAAATGGGATCTGCCCCTAAATCTGCCATATTCACCAGCAGAAACTTTTATGGATT